CGCCCTGGACCCCGCCTTGTAGAGCCCACACTATTAGGGGAGCCAGACCTCAGTCCAACAATCCCATGCCCACCGTGAGAACCAGCTTAGATCAAGGGAACAGAGCATGGACTCCCTTCTGGTGGGTCAGCTCTGGACGCTGATGTGGCCCTGAGCAATGACGCAGCTCCAGAGAAGGGCTATTTGCAGGGACCACCCAGACACCTCACCTTAGCCCCGCTCAGATGCTTACTGAGCAAGTGCCCTGTGCTGGGCATTGAGCTTGCCAGTGCTGAGACCCTGGTGGGCAAGACCAACAGCTGCCTGACCTGGTGGGCTTGAGGGTCTAGGGGAGGAGCCAGACAATTGAAACATAAGGACTCCCTTTGTGATTCTTACATCCTAGACCCAGGATTTCTGATCCAGTAGGTCAAAGACGGAGGCATCAATATATAATCTTTCCAGGGGCCTCTGGCCACCTGCCAGGTTTAGCAGCCGTGGCTCTCAGGGGCCACTGTTAGGACACCCAGAGGTATCCAGTTAAATAAAACAAAGAAGTAGAACAGAGAAGCAAAAAAGGCTTCCAAGAGTTAGGGTTTGCTTTGGACAGAGATGTTGGGGCGACTCCTCCGCCAGAAGCTGAACGGTCAGGTCACTGGCCAACGCGCTTGCTGCCGGGAAACGGCGGCGCGCACCAGCGCAGTCGTTACGAAGAGACGCGGGGCGCTGATGCTGCGTTTAACGGCGAGGAGCCGCCGTGGTGTCAGGTGGACCCGGCCCGCGCTCAGGCCACAGGGGTGGCGTTCTCACTCTTTGTGCAGAGATGACGCGACACCCATGTTTGGAGAGAACTTAAGAAAGATCAATGGGAAGAAAGTAACAAAGAAGTGCTTTCCCACTGTACTGGTTTCCTAGCGGTGCCATGACTAAGTGCCACAAACTGGGCAACTTAAGACAACAGAAATTCAGTGTCTCACAGCTCTGGGGCTAGAATCCAAGATCAAGGTGTCAGCAGGGCCATGCATCCTCTGAAATCTGGAGGGGAGAGTCCTTCCTCGCCTCTTCTGGCTTCTGGTGGTGGCCAGCAGTCCTTGGCGTTCCACAGCTTTCGGCTGCAGTCTCCCCCAGTGTGGCCGTTGCCTCTCCTCTTCTTGGAAGGACACAAATCATCTTGGATTAAGGTCCACTATAATCCAGATGTGACCCCAATTTAGTAACCAACAACCCTATTTCCAAATAAGATCACATTCTGAGAGGTTAAGGTTCGGGCATAGCTTTTTGGGAACACAGTTCAACCCACAGCACCCATGTAGCCCCAAAGGCTTCTAGTCACATCAAGGGCCAAGTGCCGAGATACGTTCTTCAACCCACCCAACTCTCACCTGTGACTCATTCCTTAGGTCCAAGATTTTTCCTTGGAAAATGTTGAGAAGCCACAAGGAACACTCCATACATCAAGGAAAACATCCCACTGAGATTTGACCTTGTAAACATTCTTTTTTTT